GTCGTTAGACCGATGTACTCCCGTTTCGAATCCCAGTGCCCTCCTCGTTCTCCTTTTTTCCGTCCCTTCTCTCTCGTCCTCGTCTTTCTCTCCCTTTCTGCTTCACAGCGATCAAGGAAATTCCGGGTGCAAGTGCTCCTCCAACCCCCCGACTCCTCTGTAAAATCGTCCAGAATCTCGTAGAGCCAACGCGAGAATCGGTGTTAATCTGTGTCGTCGAATTTGCGAGTTTAGGCCAGATGAGATACCTCGAGGATCTATCTACATTTGGTCGTAACGTTACTCCGTCGTGGATCTCGTTTTCGAGTCTTCTCTATTTTCGAGTCGGAGGATTCGTGAATTTCGACGGTCGTTTGGTGTTCGTGGTAGAATTCGACGTAAGAATACACGTGCTTCGTAGGAAGCATATTTGTTTTTCTTTCCCAGAATGTTGCGAATTATTCCGAGCTTCCGTGGCATTCGGAATAATACGTTCTCTTTACCGTTCTCTTTACCGTTCTCTTTGTCGGGAACCAGCGAGAGGTACTTACATGATGTAGACTCGATTTCGGGTAGGGGGTTCTTCGAGATTCTTTGAGATTTCCTATCGAGTTTCGCGAAATTGGCACGAGGATGACGAGCATTGGTTATGGAAGTGTCGCGTGGAAAATATGGCGGAATATTTCTGAGCCCGGTTTCGCATGGAAATCGAAACGAGGAACGTCAGAAATAGGTCATTCGATTTGGATCGTCTCGAAGGTTGATTATTCCGGCCCGATACAATGGGCCACGTTAATTTCTTAATGGAAACCGCAAGTAATCCCCGACTAGTTCGGGCCACTAGTTACGATCGCGTGTCAGCACAAGGCTTCGTTTAACGCGAGAGCATTATGGCTTTCGAATGTTTAGAAGACGATATAAACGTAGCAGTAATGGACTGCAGAAACGACTATAAAATCCATCTTACGAACCGATCCCGAGCCGTTGCTGCGAGTCAACTTTGTCATTGATGGTCTCGCGGCCAACGATTTAATTGCAACCGAATTCCTCCTGATCTTTTCTCCGCGTTTTACGACTAACACCGTCGGCTCTTCGTTGGCCCTTGCTTGCGATTACTTTGAAAAAATAGAGACGTTTCTGACGGAAAAATCTTAACAAAGGATTAATAAACGAGACGTGTGCTAACTTTTGCGTCAGGGATTTTGTAAATTATGCAGCAGGAAAATTAAACAGCCAAACGCTGTCTCTAGTTGAGCTTATGTCATTGAAGAATCCATCATTTTACCCCATTGCTGTATTTTCCCTCGTGCAATATTATTTTATGTAGGAAATATCGACAAAAATTTCCCGATAATATAAAATTAAATAAAATTCGAGGATTGTGTATTTAAAATACGTCGTCTTTGGGGCCTCACAGATTGCTCACTGTGTATCCTAGTCCAAATAAATGGCCCCCATGATTTTGTCAGAACGAAACGGACGTTTTGAAGGGAGGCGGCATTCGTTTTTGAACGGCCACTCCATTTTATGCAGATCTGGAGAACGAGGCGCAAAGACCCTTTGGAGGAGGATAATGTAACTCCTTTGTTTATAACAGATATGTCAGATCTAGCCTTTTTTCCTCGTCCGTCGGTTAAGTCTGCTCGTCTCCGCGTCTGAATAAACATATCTGATGTCTGTCGGGCCCACCCAGACGGGGCTATTAAAACTCTTATGGGAAAGTCCCTTCCATCCGCGAGCTGATAGCGCGGCGATTTTTCGCGAGGGGGTCGTTTAATCGACACTTGTTCCGCACTCACCGCCAGTATCGAGCTATCGAACCGTCCTGCCGGGTCGAATGAGCATGGTTCGCACGTGAAGCCGTTTCAATAGGATATTCAGCTTCGCACTGGAACTCTCCAAGACGTCGGAATTGATATTTAAAATTAAGGAAGAGAAAGACGGTAATTCTAGATCTTCGATTCAAGGTATTACCTTCATTTCTGCGAGAAGGTCCCTGTCTTCTAAGTAGCTCTTGGACCGTTTCACTGGGGTATTCATCTTGGCACTGAAGCTTCTTAAGATATTAAAATTAACTTAAAATTGGAGGAAAGGAATTAGATGTATTACTAGATCCCCGAAATTGATATTTAAAATTAAGCAAGAGGAAGAAGGTAATTCTAGATCTTCGATTAAAGGTACTGCCTTAATTTATATAAGGTCACTGTCTTTTGAATAGTTGTTGGACCTTTTCACTGGGATATTGAACTTCACATTGAAGTTTCCAAAGATATTAAAATTAATATTCGAAATCGAAGAAAAGAAATTAATTGCGATTCTAGATCCTCGAAATTGATATTTAAAATTAAGCAAGAGAAAGAAGGTAATTCTAGATCTTCGATTAAAGGTACTGCCTTAATTTATATAAGGTCACTGTCTTTTGAGTAGCTCTTGGACCTTTTCACTGGGATATTGAACTTCACATTGAAGTTTCCAAAGATATTAAAATTAATATTCGAAATCGAAGAAAAGAAATTAATTGCGATTCTAGATCCTCGAAATTGATATTTAAAATTAAGCAAGAGAAAGAAGGTAATTCTAGATCTTCGATTAAAGGTACTGCCTTAATTTATATAAGGTCACTGTCTTTTGAGTAGCTCTTGGACCTTTTCACTGGGATATTGAACTTCACATTCAAGTTTCCAAAGATATTAAAATTAACTCAAAATTGGAGGAAAGGAATTAGATGTATTACTGGATCCTCGAAATTGATATTTAAAATTAAGCAAGAGAAAGAAGGTAATTCTAGATCTTCGATTAAAGGTACTACCTTAATTTATATAAGGTCACTATCTTTTGAGTAGCTCTTGGACCTTTTCACTGGGATATTGAACTTCACATTGAATCTTCCAAAGATATTAAAATTAATATTCGAAATCGAAGAAAAGAAATTAATTGTGATTCTAAATCCTCGACATTGATATTTAAAATTAAGCAAGAGAAAGAAGATAATACTAGATCTTCGATTAAAGGTACTGCCTTAATTTATATAAGGTCACTATCTTTTGAGTAGCTCTTGGACCTTTTCACTGGGATATTGAAATTCACATTGAATCTTCCAAAGATATTAAAATTAATATTCGAAATCGAAGGAAAGAAATTAGGTGTGATTCCAAATCCTCAGTATCCGTAAAAACCCCCAGGAATTTCGAAGGTTCGCGGAAAAAATGTTTTACTTTGACTCGTAAAAGAAGGTATCCATTCTTTAAAAAGATGCAAGAAAGATGTTCGTCTCGGAAAGTAATTCGTCTCTAATGTTTCTTTATTTTCTCAACAATTAAACGGTTAACTGGAGGCCCTCGTGTGACGAGGAAAAAATGCCGACGTTTTAACGTTGCTCTCGGAGACACACGAGCATGAAAGAGCATAAAAGAGCATAAAAGAGGACGCAAGCAGCGGTCCAGAAAAAAGGAGCTACTTCTTTGGAAGATGTCTCGGGTCAAGCACGTCAAGTTTTTACGATCTCGCGTAGCTGTGACGTGTAGACGTTTCGAGAGAGTGGCTCGTCAAGGGGGGTTGCAGGCAAGAAGAGACACTTGTTCCTTTTTTCATTTTTTTTTTCTTTTTTTTCGTAATGAACCACGTATATTTCGAATAGATCTGTGTGATCACATAGGTACGCAGAAACAATCGGTGCCTTGGCATGACGCGCTCTTACATAATAGTGTGATTACAATTAATCAGTATCAGTGTCGATCGACTTTATTGCACGTGCTTGTCTCTTAAACCTCCTCGTTGAATTCGTTTCACGGTGTAAAATTTTTCGCACACCCTTCCCAAGTTTGGAAACCGTTGCAGAAGCTCTCAGGCTGCCACTGTAATTTTTAGACAATTGCGGTAATTAATTATTAACAATTTTACGTGACGTTGCCTCGGATACAGCGGAATATTTTTCACGGTGCGATATTCGGGATATTTATTAATAAAAAATTGCAAGAATTTCGGAGAGAAATCATTGGTCGATGTAAACCGTGCTTTACGTGGCAGCCATATTTCAACCCTCGGAATAAATAAATACTTCACCCACCGACACCGTCCGATCGAGATTGCATTTTATACAGTTATTTACACGCTAATTTACACGATTCTCTTCCTAGACTGTGATATATTTATAAGTGAATTTATAATTAACGCGTACAGTAGATCGCTCGGACACTACATCGACGAATTAATCGACAACGTGCCCTTTAAACGTTACTTCAAAGTAGGTAGCGTGTGACTGTAATTACGAATTTCAATCGACGTCCATTCGAAGGGAACGGGACGCGAGAACCTCGGTTATTTAAATTTACATCGCGATCGAGGTACGTACCCTTAACACTCGTATGTAATTTCAGTCGACAACGTTCGAGGAGCTTCTTGGAAAAGGGATTTATCTCGAGAAGTGACCTTCTTCCAAAAAGGTCCTCGTTTTCGATCGTTCGCGTGGAACGACGGAAGATAGACTAGTTTAACGATAACCAAAGTAAAACTATACAAAGGCAATAGTAGTTACGCAATCTGGTAACCAATCCACCGCTATAATCTCCCCTAATTCGAGTAAAATACAGGAATAACAAAAAAGAAAAGAGAAACGGAGCAAGTCGAGCACTTTGAACCAGACTACCCTAACCGATCAGTTACCATACGATCCAATAATTCCCCCAAACATTCGCTCTGAAACAACAACGCAATGTCTGTAGTTATCAAGCGAAACGCCACATGTCGGATATTTTTATCTTCGAAATCCGAGTGTCGATTCTTCTTACATCGGCACTCGATTAAATTACAAAATTTCCTCGCGCGTTTCATAGGCCGATTAACGAATAACCCAGGAGCTTGAAAAATCCCGACACGCATCGCCTTTCTACTCATAACCACAGACATGTCCGCACGCCGAACGCTCGACGACCCCTGACGTAATTCCGGCCCAAGCTGACCAATCAACCCCAACCAATTCCACTTTCATTTTCGATCCCATTGAAATCGCGAAAATTTCCGCTTTACTTCTCGTCGTTCAGTTTCGCCAGCTGGCTCGGATCGAGGTCCGGCGCGATCGTGTTTTGCACCTGAATATGAGTGGAGTGCAGGGGCGGGCAGAGCAGGGGATGATAGGGGAGACAGTAGTACGGGAAACCGCCGAGCGCTTTGTTCGCCGGATGAATTTGCGGGGCAGACATTTGCCCGGGAAGTTGGCCGGAACCACGAAGTGGCAATCCCCTCAGATGCTCGTCCGGATGCACGAGGACTCGCACCGCCACGCGCCTCGCGTTTCCGGAATTAACCAGCGCGCCCAGCTCCTGCTGCTGTCGTCTTTTGGTCTTGTACCTGGAGCACGGGACAATCGCACATGTTGCATTAGTCGATTTTATTTATTAGCTTTCTTGCAGTTTGTTGCTAATTAACTCCCAATAAAGAAATTTCGTTTACTCGGAAATGAACGCGTGACGAGAAAATGCTGACACGGTAAGAGTTAGGCTAGGTATTGTTTCGATACACGATGGAGATAAAAATGAATTAGGCATTGCATTTCGATGTTTAAAATATAGTAGATGGTTTGCAAATGTCAGTATCTGAGAAGATCTATAATAAGGGTGTCCAATCTTTGACAGAACACTGACACGGTTAGACAGAGTTAGGCTAGGTATTGTTTCGGTACATGATGGAAATAGAAATAAATTAGGCATTGCATTTCCATGTTTAAAATATAATAGATGGTTTACAAATGTCTATATCTGAGAAGATTTATAACAAGGGTGTCCAATCTTTGACAAGACATTGACACGGTTAGACATAGTTAGGTTAAGTATTGTTTCGATACACGATGGAGCTAAAAATGTATTAGGCATTGCATTTCTATGTTTAAAATATAGTAGATGGTATGCAAATGTTAATATCTGAGAAGATCTATAACAGGGGTGTCCAGTCTTTGACAGAACGCTGAGACGGTTAGACAGAGTTAGGTTATGTATTGTTTCGATACACGATGGAGCTAAAATGTATTAGGTATTGCATTTTAACGTGTAAACTATAAAAGAGGTATAGATGTTATGCAAATTACTACATTTGAGAGGATCTATACCAGAGGTGTCCAACCTTTTAGTTTCTCTAAGCTAGGCATAATATACCTAATACTAATGATAGCTAGCGAACATAAAATATCATAAAATATAATAAAAAGTTGATATATTTAAGTAATTTAAACTTTATTAATTTACTATCTTTTTTTATTATAAAGACAGTAACCTGGAATTAGTCTGTCACTGTTTTATACATTTTATTTGATATAAATTTTGTGTATAAAATTGGGCCGTGGGTTGGACACCCATGATCTAAGAACGCGTGATATATTTTTCATCTTTCATTCTCCTTATTAGATAAATATCTTTCTATCTAAAAGAAATTATTCAATTTCTAGTTACCGAGGTAATTCCCAATTTCGTAATTCAGAATCCAGTTTGTTTCTATTAACCCTTTGCACTCGATGACTTTTGGCTAGAGAAGAGTAGAAATTCAAGGATTCTCTACTAAAAAGCTGACGATACTTCTTTGAGCAGTAAATAAAGATTTGTATAATAATAGAATTGTAGAATTATTTGATTTCGATACCTCGCACACTGTTACATTGCATTAAATTTGATATATTAATTAATATCGATCTTCCAAATTTTATGAAATGATAAGCTCACCCCTCTCGAGTGCAAAGGGTTAAAAATTTCTAAATAAATACGCTTCGCAATTAATTCGTATACCGTGTGGTTATCGTACCGTCTGTTTTGGAACCAGATCTTCACTTGAGTCTCCGTCAGCTTCAACCCCCGCGCGAGATCCGCTCGTTCCGGGCCGGACAAGTATTTCTGTGCGGCGAATCTTCTCTCCAATTCGTAAACCTGTGCATGCGAGAACGCCGCTCTGCTTCGTTTCTTCCTGCTCTGAAGATTCTGCCCGTGATTCTGCGCCTCGAACATGTCCTCCTCGCCGTCCTCTACAAATTCGCAGTTTGTTAAACCACACGCCGATGACCATCGAGCTCGATCATATCCGCGAACATATATTTGATCGTTCTCCGGTTGGAAACAAACTCGAGTTACAGAGAGAAATCCGCGGGAGCTTCTCCAAATTCGCGTGCAAACAAACGCGCGGATCGGGAAAGGATGATCTACAGCGATCATAAATCAAACGTTTCGACTGCAACGGCGAGGGATAGGGGGAGGTTTGGCGGGTGGGTGGAGAGACGAACGAGTAACCATCCGCGGACAGCAGCCATAGAAGCGGCGAACGATCGGAGAGAGTTCCGCCCGCTTTTGATGTCTCGTTCAAACATTAACACGTGCACTCGCTACTCCGACATGTTTACGCTGCTGTTCCACGGTAATTCTCCTCTAAGTTTAACCGGTTGCAGTGGAGTGCAATCGCGTTCTCCGGACGAAAATTCTGCTGCTCCCTCGTCGCCGGAGCGACGGTCACTTTGTTTCTCGAGCTTCGAGGCGGAGAATAGCTTTTAGCTGGAAATTCCGCCTGTTGCCGGCTTTTATGCGATATCTTGGAATTGCTTTTCTTTTGGGAGCTTCGCTGTTTAGTATTAGGCTATTGTGTTCTAGATTTATTCTACGTGTATGAACGGGAGAGAGTAGTTGCCAAGAAAATGGTAAATCCGAGACGAGGAAATTGGGATGAACATTATGGGTGTTGACGACCGAGTTGTTAACGTTAGAACTGTATACCTAGATAGGTTACGTTAAAGTGACACGAGGAAAATAGACGAGTGTCTGAAAAATAGGACCATAAGCTAAAATGGTTAATAGAGATTTTAATTCTAACGAAGACCAAGCATATAGAATAAAAGCGATTTAAATTCGAATTGTGGAGAAATGTTTGTGAACTCATGACAATTTATTAAAGATGGATCGCCTTTTAAGAAACCTCATCAACTACATACGTTTCTGTCTCGATAGAAATAATTGCACGTTGTTAATAACTTGAAAAGAAGAATCTGAAAGCACTCGTACTTATATAGAGCAGTTCCAGTGTCAAGTAGGATCAGATAAGTGTTCGAATTGTCACTCGATCATGCAGTAAATCATAGTAATTAATCTCTTGACTCTGAGCTCAAGGATAGATCACTTCCTCGCGATTCTCCGAATTCTACTATACCTAAAATTGTCTTATTCTTCAGAAAAACGAGCCAAAGGTCGGACAGAGAAATGAAGGGTGCTTGAAAGACCGATTTAAGAAAGAAGCAGGAGTAACAAAAAATAATACCACGTTAAAACGCGAGGACGAAATAGCCGTCGAATTGGAACCTGAAACGTTCTCCAGGGAATAAAAAAGCGTTGGAAACTGCTGCAAACATCAAAGGAACAAAGGAAGCAGAATGGCAGAAAGATGAGCGAGTCTCGGAGGAAAACACGGTCCTAAAAATCTGACTCGTGTGACATCATAATTATTTCGTACGTGGCCCGGTCCTGCGTCAATGTTTATCAGCAGTGGCCAACCCAATGGGGGGACTCGAAGCATTTAGAGAGATCTATATTTGATCACTTTCGACGTCAACTCCATGCCATCTCGTCCGGCTAATGCGTCCCTCCTCTGACGCTCGTCAAACATCTCCTACGCGTCCTACATCGAGAGTGTTCGAGAGCAGCAAGTGCCGTTTGCTCTCACTCCGATTACATCGTGAGATGACCCTTCGTGTGCACCTCCTCCGAAGCGGCCGCTCGTGGTTTTCAAATAAATTGATATGGCCCGTTAAACGCTGATCAAACGAAACGTTATCCCCATTTTGCACGAAGGATCATAGGGGTGGATATTTGTATTAATTCCCTGCGCAACCTTCTCGACGAGCTAGAGGCCACGCGATAAATGGCAGCGTTGTTTGACCGGCGATGGCCCGATAGTTCGATATCGATATCACTTTCGATCGAGTCGCGGGGTTTGTTGAATTAAGCGAGGTTTGACTAAGGAACTGCTGCGAACATCCTATCCATTACCGTATTAAGTGATACGAAAGCACGGTGGCGGGAAACGGGGGTCTCCGTAATTTCGTGAGTGAGCCTTGAAACGGTGCCAGCTCGTGCCTGCTCCTCTTCACCCTCGAGTGGCGAACAGGCCAGGAATCGTCGCGAACGAAACAGCTTCATCCCTTCAGGTACGAAGGGGTTACTTAATTGCCGACCCCTTGTTATTCCGCGCTTTTAAATTGTCCGGAATATTCGCAAGTGGAGGAGGAATCTCGAGGAACTCCGAGCGAGATGGCTCCGGTGAAACGAGGAATTTTGGGACCGAGGCGGGAAAAAGTGATTTCTTTGGAATCGATCTGGGTAACCTTGATCTAAATTTGTTTTTTGCGGTGATCCACGGACCGTCGAGGATCCAAGACAGAGCAACAGTGTGGCCAGGGATCGAACAAGTGCAAGAAGCAGAGTGGCCGGCCACTTGTGACGTCTGCCGCAGTCGAGTACCACTTATGCTACTAAAATTACATTCGATCACGTTATCTGCGCTCGGGTTAACTTAAAAAACCCTTGAAAAGCTCGCCTGTTACAAGGATACCGTGGGCCTAAATGATCTCTTAAGCCCGCATCCTCGTGGCAGACACACGATCACCCAGAAGGGAAGCGGCCTCGAGATTTCCACTCTAAGTGGACCCGACTCCCTACTCTCCTCGTTCATTCAGTTCTATCTGGTTATCGCCATCGATAGAGCGAGTTGATTGCAGACCTCGTAATTTTACCTCTAGTTATCCCCCCTTTACGGACCGTGAGGCAATTCCATGCAGAAAATTAGAAATTTAAACTGCTCAATTGGAAAATTCTTACGCGACTCAATTTGCACAGCGATTATTTAATAACAAGACCATATCTTGGACACTCACCCAAGTATTTATTCTTGCTCATGTCCAATGCCTCGTCCTGCTGCCTCTGCGAAGATTCCCTCGAGTCCTTCACCGGCTGATAACCACCCATGTTCCCCAGGCTCTCGAGGTGCTTGAAAGTTCCCTGAGCCAAGTGTGGAATAGTCCCAAAGTTGGAGATATTCGCGTGGACCAGGTTCCTCGTCAGGATATCCAGCTCTCGGGCCACGCTGAGGTCCGGCGAAGGTAGCCTCGCGAATCTTGCCATCTGACCACGATCTTCTAACTGACTTTCCCTGTGATCGGTCTCGGGACAATCGTAGTCCCGTTGATGAGGCTTCTTCGCGAACGACGATGCACCTTGCGCTTCCTCGGACTCTGAGGCTCGTCGCTCCGTGTAAGAGGTTCTTCTGCTGAGGATGTCAGCGATACTGAAGGGAGTTAATTGGGATGGCTTCGGCGAAGCTTCGCTCCGCTTGTCGTCTTCTACGATGTCCGACATTTCTCAAGTTTCCTCGGATTTCCTCAAAAGAGAACAGTTCTGATCGAAGCTTCCGGCGAAGCAGTCTCGCGGTCTCACTTTATCCTTTTAAATTTTCACAAGTTCAACGAGCTTATCTCTTCCACCCCCTCAGTGTCCATCGCGTCGCACCCTCCACTTTCGTAGACAACGTTCCGACGACATTGTTCACTGCTTTCGTCCCTCCACCGAACAACAGTCCACCCTAATCTGTCTCCGCTTTCCCTCCTCAGGTCCTCCTTTCAGAGAATCCTCATAGCCAAAGCGAGTGAAGGATTTTTCGGTCCAGTCCACGCTCGATGGTAGCCACGACTCGACTGGTCGACTCGATGAGAACTATAGAGGAGGATCCGTGTTGCAGCGGCGCGACGCGTTTATTAATTGTCACTCGCGAGCACTCGAGAGGGCCGCGTGCACCCTTCCGCGACGAGCGTGCTTCGGTCAAGTGTGCTTGTCGCTCGCGGAGACTTATTTTTCGAATTAGTCCGCGGCCACTTCGCCGCCAGCTTCCTTCTTCCCTTCCACCCGCGCCGCCATCTTCCCCTTCTATGCCAGCCACCCCCACCAGCCAAACATCCCTCCACTCTCGTCGATCGCGACTTTAGGACCGTTCTTCCTCCTCCATCGACTCTTTCCCGGTCCAGGACACGGGTTTTACGAGTCTCTTCGGTGATCCTTAGATGTCTGACTGGCCAGGGTGAAAGAGGGTCCGAAATCGTGGATAGGGGTGAGTGGCAGGCTGGTCTCTCTAGACGTTGGTCGACTCAAAATCGAGTTACCGATGTTTAACACTAACTTGAAGCAAGTTTCATAGCTATTAATTCCATTGGAGAAGGTTTTCTCTTCGTTAGGGTGTCGTGTCTCCCTCGTGTAATCTGTTTCTTACCACTTTTGTTCTATTTTTCCACACTTTAGCGAAACAAACGATGACTGTGCTGACTTATTCGAAGTTACCACCTGTAATCTTCTTTCACCCCTTTAATTCCATACTAGCACCCTCTGGAATCGAAGAAAAATTGATGAAACGAACGGGTGTCTTCTAGAATCTCACTATACTTGCGTCCACTCGCTTACTTATTTACCCTCGCGTACGGTTTTCATCCCTTTCACTCCAACCCTATGACTCGCGAAGATGACACGTTAGACGGAACTCGCTCGTGGCTGGCGTAAATTCGAGTTTCGCGGGTCGTCGCGTAGGTGGAGCTTTAGACGAGGTCCAGGTTGGACGCGGGACGCCCGACGACGCTTCCGTCACGACGCAAGCCTCGCCCTACGGCCAATCCACTGCTCCCGCCACGTCGTCGCATTTACCCAGGAGCCAATCCACGGTTCCTAGAAGCTCTCAGCCTCGAGGTGACGAGCGACCGGCTCTCGGAGTGGGATCCTCCGCCGCTTTTTTTCACGGTCGCCGTGACGGGGGTGGCGAAGGGTTGCGACCGAGTGAAACTCTTTCAGGTATCGCGTCCTCGTTTCGCGAAAGTAACGCTACTTTCTGCAAGTATTCTCCCGTTCGACAGGGTTCCGGGAAATTTTCATTATCCCAGAGTTTGTTGAACCATCGGAGGCTCGTCTCGAGAGTTGGGTTTCAGGACTGGGGTAGTTTTTCTAGATCGGAGGGTGTTCTTCTGAATCAGTTCATCTGTAAGTATAATTCGATTATACGTTTGCATGTCCTTATAAAATAATTTTTGTGGTAAAAGAAGGTTACGTGTAAGAGGTATCCGAAGATACCTGTCTTGTCCTCTGTACATGAAATTTTCGGAATTTTGTTAGAAATTAATGGGAACCAAACTTCGATTCGATCGTAGGAAGTTGGAGAACCAACCCTTCGAATGGTTATTTGACAGGTGAGAAATCCAAGGAGATTCTGAATGGTGTCTAACGCTTTCAAAAAGTTGCTCCGTGGATGTGGGCAGATAGAGACGGTTCTACGTACTTCTCGTCTCGTATCGAGTCGAGAGGAGCCGAGCGGTGCATATATAGGGTGTGCTTTACATAACAATCGCCGCTAAAGACTTGCAGCATTGTCCGCCACGTGCTGTCAGCCGAGTTCCTATGGCGGTTTAATTAAGTGTGAACCACAGGAGCGTGGATCACGCCTCACTTGATCCGATGATGGCCTCGCGCGTTCCAGATATCGACGAGGAAATAATTCCACGTTCCTCCATATTTCTTGGAATTCTCTCCCGTCGTCCTGGTTTATCTCGATGAGAAAATCTACTTTGTTACAAATTCTCGTCTTTCAAGGTCTTCGTTTAAAAGAAAAATTATGGAAATCATCGTCGAAAGATCGAAAAGTAGATCGCCATTTTGGATAGATAAAAATCGATTTCTCCAAGGATATCGTTGGATTTTAAACACACTGTATATTATCACGATCGAAATTTATTTTTACAATGACGCGTCTTAACAATATGGCAATTGGATCGAGAAGAGGAAAGAAATTATCGTCTGGAGATACACGGAGATACCGATATATCAAGTTGTTATCGATTTACATAACAGATGTCGCAACTAGTATATTTTATAATATAAACAAAAATAATTCAGCGAGTCGACGCTTCGGAATATACGAAATCACCCCGATTCTTAAAAGTGGCACCCTCCTATCAAGTATTCCCGTGGAATCGATCGGAATCGGCAATTAGCAGGTGACGAGTAATCGAACCGGAAAAACGACGTCAGTCATTTTCCGATTAGCCATTCCAGGCTCGCGTAGAGGGACAGAGAACGCGCCATCTGAGGAGCAATCTCGAAGACGGACCACGGTCCTCCGTGGAACGACGGCTCTTTTTCTCGATTCGATCTAATCAATAATAAATTATAGGGGGATGTCGGTACATCTCTCCCCTAGAGCTAAGCCCTGACCCTCCCGCTCAATTGGTCGCAATTCTTAAAGACCTTAATTGGCGCGGAAAATTATACCTTATTTCAGTTACCCTCGAACGAGACCAGCCACCCAGTCCGCCCCTCGAACGCTGTACCATCGTCCCGCGATTCGTTTTCTTACGAGTTCCACTCGGATATTTCCTCTAGCCCCCTCCAGCGGCGATCGGGGCAACCTACACGTCCCGCCACTTTCGATCGGCCGGTCGTAACCGTAACCGTTCCGAAATCGTTCTTTCCCGCGCGGTGAACTCGCAAGCCGTTCTATAAATAGCGACTGGCCAATCGAACGCGTCTCGATCGCCGAGAATCTCGACGAGATTTCGTTCGTCCGTCAAAGTATATAGCAAGTTGAAACGTATGCACGATACGAAGTATATAAGACCGTCGAAGATGGTCAGAGACTTGGCAAAGTGAAAGGATGAGGGGTTGGAGAAAGGCGAAACGAAGGGCAGATTATAGAAGCCGGTTCCTCGAAGATCAGACAGGAAACTCGTGGACGGCGTTTAACTGGCATTCGGCGACACGAAAAGTAACGAAGATCGGGAGCCGATAGGTGGTGGGGGTAGAGATAGAGGGAGCGAGTCGGAACGAGCAGTGCGTGCGCTCTATGGGCGGGCATAAGAATATAAAAACAAGAAGACCGGATGACTGCTAACTGTTTGTTAGTCTTGGGTTTTAAAGTCCGCACGTCTGTCAGCCCAGAGATGTAATATTAGTGCTTAGTATACGCTGCCGCCACCGCTCTCGCTCATTTACTTCTTCTCCTTTCATCCTCACTCCGTTTACCTTTCGGTCCTGCGTTTTCTCGCTACCCCTTCCGTCTCGCCCCTTAGGAGCCGGGAATTGCTCAATGAATCTTTTCTGCCGAGATTCTGGCTGTAAAGTCTGATACTTTTTTCTTTTTTTTTTTTTTTTTTCCGTAATCCTCTGTTCAATGAAAAGTAGGTCTTTCTACGAGATGGGAGTTTGATTTTTGCGTATGATTTTTTTTTTTTGAGAGAGAGAGAGACTAGAGAGTTCTGTTAATTGAAAGATCGATTTAGATCGACCGGTCTTTTCGTTTGAGATCGTGCAGGTTCTTTTAATGGTTCCGGTAGTTTGTGGATTGGCTAGTTTATCGGTACTATTTTCAGCCGTTTGTAGCTGCCGATTCTAGCATTAATGAGCGTTTCAAAGGCGAATGACAGCGTGACTATTTCTGATGATCGAAGTTACACCGATACGATCAACGATTAATAAAGTATACGTTAAATATTTATAACCGCGTAAATTTTCAAAGCGAAATGGGACAATTATGAATAATTATTTAAATGATCCTCCGGTGTGGATGAACATTAAAAAAAAAATAAGAAATGAAAGATTCGTTTCGTGATTAAATTTGTATATTATTTTATCCAATTTTTGTATGCAATTTTCGTATACACAGAAATGAAATATTATCTCTTGTAGTATAGAGTGCGCTAGGAAGCAAATAAAGGGAGGAATTTCGTAGAACTTATTCACAGTCGGTAAAAGAGATTTCTTGAGCACTCTGCTATTCCTATAATCGATTATACAGACATCTATATTAAAGAACGCTAAGGTATCATTCGTCGGTATAGCAGATTATCCATAATAAAGTGTTACATAAAATTAAACAAAGAAAGATTCACAAATGCATTATTAAACATTTTCACGCGTTAATATCGTGAATTATAATCCAAAGTGAAATTTAAATCCGCATGGCTATCTGTATCGTTTAATTTACGAGCGTCAGCCCTATAATTAGCCATTAATGACGTCACATTGCACTCCATTCATATGCATTCATATTTCAGTGCATCGTGCTCCAGTTTGACATCGGAAAAATCTTCAAATTTCTCTCGTTTGCAGATAAAATTCCACTATAATTATCCACATCGCAAGATAAATTATACTGATTAATGATCAATAATAAATTCTTTTAGCTCCCTATAAAACATTCTTCAACTCGTAACAGTACATCCATTTAAATTTCGTATGAAGGGAAACGTGTTAGTCACGGTGTGATTAATGAGACCGAAATAAACACGATAGTCTCTAAATAAATTCAAACAATCCACGGAACAGTCTATGCATATGCACTCCTGTCTCTATTTGAACAGCATCGACTTTTCGTGTTCTCTTTATTCACCTAGCTCCGATGCTTTCCATTCTTTCGCAGGCAAATAGGATCGGATTTCGACGTTTAACGTGCGGTGATTGATTATGCGAATATACACGATCTCCTAATGGGGCTTTCAGAATTCAGGCTAAAAACACGGAAGAAATTGCATTTCGTGCGTAATTTGCTTGCATCGTCTTCCATTACAAATGCAAAGCGTTCCAATTACTTCGATCTTCCCTATCCTCGTAACAGTAATTAAATACCCATAATTCTACCCTTTGCATCTCGCATTTCATCATAATCTAGTTTGCTTCACAAATTTTTATTTCGGGATACAATACATTTACACAAAAATATAGACTGACACGGTATTTGTGTGGTGTAAAAATATCTAGGAAATTCCTTAAACCCGAATTTAATAACAGTAGCAAAAGTTTCTTACGAATATCTCAGAAAGTGGGGAAAAATTTATTGCAAATTTTAATTTCTACGGTGTATCAAAAAATCGTCGAAATCGGAGAGGTGTCAGCGGTAATCTACGTAATTACCAGTAATTATCACAATAATTACCGCAATTACCAATAATTATCACAGTTATTAACACAATTACCAATAATTATCACAATAATTACCGCAATTCGTGTAATAAATAGTGAAAACATCCCTGCAACCAAAAGCCCATAATTCGAAATACCATACAAAAATATGGACCATGGACCACCATGGTTTCATCGTTGTCAAACCGAAATTATCTCGTAGACGGAGATCGCAGACTGTTTTCAAGCACGTCGACGGAAACGAAGCAGATCTCGAGGAACAAGTGCGGGCAGGTGTATGGCAGGTGCGTCCAGGGTCGGCGCGAAGGGAAGGGTGGTTTCGGAAGGGTGGCCTGCGACGGTGGAAGGTGAGAGAGCCGTGTATGGGAAACGCCACACGTTCCCGGTGGAATATCGGCAGCGACAATTTTATCAGCTTGTTCCCATGGTCCTTTATGGCGGCGGTAGCACCATGAACAACGATTACGCCGACGTTGAATCGTCTATGTGAAGGCACTTGACTGCCAGATGACCCGTCGTGCTCGCGCGATAACCTAAAAGGCACCCATGGCTTCGCTCAAGCTGTCAGAACTCACCTATTTATAAATGCCATTTCGCCATATTTTTGTTTTATCGACCTGCACGCTGTTTCACGCGGCGAAACGGTGAAACTGCGCGAACGGAACAGTCGGGTGGAAAATTTCCTCGAAATTCTACGAACATCCATCCGTTTCGCACAATTTCCTTCCAAATACTCCATTGAAAAGCTTCTACCAAGAAAATAATATTTTTCTCGAGGACGATGATCGGGGAGAAATAAATGAATTCCAGAATTGAGTCTTTCCTTTCGTAAGCATAACACTTTATTTATTGTCACCTTCCTTGTTCCTTTAATCAGTCGTGAACATCGGTACAAAAGTACAGTGCAATTCCTTTGGGCCAGAGACAGACCCAAGTCGACCTGTTCGCTTGATCTGTCCACGATTCTCGCTGCACGATCATCGAGACGAACCACCCCCTCGATCTCTCGCCAGAGGGTGGCACTGAACGTGTTCGCCGGTTAGAAAAAGATGGGGATTATCGGGAGAAAAAGAATGGAATCACGAGAAACACGAGGTCTGCGGAATACAGGGTAACTGATGTTTCCGCAAAAGCCACTTGAAGCAATTTCCGTTCGAGCCTCTTGAGCGGCGCGTTACTATTTCGAAGAGAGTATCTTACCTAACTGAAAGAGAACGAGGAGAAAAAAAGAAAAGAGGAAGAAATGAAACACAGCTGCCTATAGGCCTTACCATCTAACTATGTCTAACTTAAAGCTATCGCAATCGCGGTGTTCACAAGGTGCATCATGAACCACTGCTCTTTGGCTACTTGTTTGGCAATGTCACACGACCGTGGAGATTACATTCGAGATTTTCAGATGCAAATTGCTTCATCTTCTTCTTTTTTCCTCAGTTTCAATCGCAGCATTAAGTTGGCCAAGAAATAGCGTCGGATCTTGACAGCGGATGGTGCCATTTTCCTTGGTAACGAAGCAAAGTGTCCCTAATCAAGGATCAAATTATTTTATTTAAAACGAGATACTTGCTATTTTATAACGAAAGCACCGACGTTACATTTTGACCAACCCAGTATACGAAACTCGATTTTAAAGATCGTAATTTATACTTGGAAGTCTGAAAGATGAGCTGCGACGACGAGAGCGCGAAACCATTAATTACAAAAATAATACGCGAAAGATTCGATTTCTATCGATTCGTCTAATAGCTAAGCCTCGTCAGGTCGTCTATTCACTTAGAACCGTAGCACAACTCGGAAACACTCTCCGTTAATCCGCGATTCGTCTAATTTCATAGAGCAGATACAGGCCTCTGATATCCCCACAAACGTTCAAACAGTGTCCTTTCGAAAGGATATTTCCTCGATATTCGTTAAACCTGTTAAACCTACGATTAACTCGGTGAGAGATCGGTCGACTCGATAGAAAAGGCGCGTTCGCAAAAAGAAAACACAGCGCAGGATGAACAGTGGGATTCTACCACAGTCGTTGGAGGTTCTGATCGATGGGCACCTGTTCCATGTAATTAACGTACTGCATCTGGTAATTAGCCGGGCCCAAGTAATTGGAGAAGCCGTACTCGCTGCTGGAGACGTCCATCACGGATCTTCCGTCGGCCATAGCCTTGTTCTCCGCGGCAATGTTCTTCAGATCCGGAAACGGCGCCACCTCGTTGCCACTGACGTTTCCCTTGATCTGTCTGTGACAATCGTGCACGCCAACTCGGGGATCCGTCGCCAGATTGTTCCTAAAATCCGGGGTGGTAGCCAGAACGTGCTGCCTGGCCTGTATGTCTCCGTTCAGACTCGGTTTTCCACCTAGATCTGGGCTCATTTCCTGCTTGAATTCCGGACTGATGCTCGTGTCCATCCTCATGTCGCCGTTCGTCGCTCTGAATTCGGGACTCAGGCGAATTTCGTTCATTCTGAAGTCCGGCTGCATCGGAACACCGAGGTCTGGCCTGATGTTGGACCAGTAGGTAGGATTGTAGGATTCTTGAAGGTTCGGCTTGCCATCCTTGATCAGAACGGGCACGTGGATCTTCTTCAGAGATTGGTTCTTCATGTTTTGAGCTTGAAGCTTCTCCGCGTCCTCCAACCTGGCGCGCTTGTTCTTGTACCGCCGGTTCTGGAACCAGATCTTCACCTGGGTGCTCGTCAGCTTCAGGGTTTGCGCGAGCAGCTCCCTTTCCGGGGCATTTAGGTATCTCTGTTGCTTGAACCGCTGTTCTAGCTCGTACACTTGATTCTGCGGGTTAAGGGTGGTTTTGTAGTCAAAGATAGAAGAGCTTTGGTGAAATGGAAGGAAATAGAATCTTGGTTAACCTCTTCGGTACCGTTGACGGATATATTTGTCAGGCAAAGATCGTGTGGCTATCATGTATAAGTTGAATATCAACGGATGACAAAAGTATTTTAGCCGATACCGAATAGATTAATATTTTATCACTGACTGTTACTAGAAAATTTGTCGGATAAAGATAGCTCAATGTACCAATGTTATTTCCATGCATAACGAGATTTTGGAAACTCACTTGTGAGAATAGCACCCTGGGCTTCCGCTTTGTCCTCTTGCCAGACTGGCTCTTCCGCAGCTCCGTTTTGCTCGAAGTAACCACGTTACCTGTGAAATATTCCCAACACTATGTCACTCTCGACTCGACCAAAGCAAAGCAGATCGACCATGAAGTACACCGATTTATACGCACCATCTTCCGTAACAGGCGGATCTTGATAAGGCGGAGCGATTTGGTTCAACTGATGAACGTGACCCAAGTCAGGGTAATGAGGATAAGCAGGCATCGACTGTTCCTTGAACTTCTCCACGTCCCAATTATTCTCAGGCACGATATTGTAGCCGTAATATTCCTGAGGCACATGCTGCTGCTGAAGCTGATGCTGATGATGAACAGAAGGGTAGCAATCCATGATACCGAGCTGCTGATCCTCGCTGAGAATGTCGCGGACGCTGAACGGGGTTCCAGAGACCGAGGAAGACAACATTCTAACGCATTCTCGAGGAATGTTCTCGACTGTTCCAGGTGCTCAGTCGACAACCTCCACTTTGGATTAATTTATCGCGCTCTGACAATCCCCGGTATTTAACACTGTCACTCGTCGAACAAACACATTCACGGGGAAACTGTGGTTCGTTGCAACTTCACCGTTGTTCTCCAAAGGAACCGCACCACTTGGACGACTCTCCTCGGTCTTCCTTTGAAAGAAATCCAATATCCAGCCATCAAATTCGCAAAAACATTTTACGACGCCCTGGGCCCTCGTGCAACGATCATCCTCCAGCTCCACCAGCTTCCAATCGTAAACCGTCCACTTCAACGGATCGGTAATCCCCGATGATAACCCGTGCCCAGCTTCCTCCCGCGTTTGGGGGGCTAATCGCGTTTGGAACGTCGTAAAGGGACGGCGTTGAGTATCGTGTCTCCCTGGGTTAGGGCTGCCGGACTATAAAAATCCCCAGAGACTCGTTACGATCGTGGAGACACGCGAGGACCACCTTGAACGCTCGCGGAACCTCTTCTTTGGGGGATGATGGTCACGGCTGAACGGTCAGGCCGGAGGGCAGACGCGCAATGTGACTTGGTCTGACAGAGGGAGTCAAGTGTTGGTCTCTCCTCCGTGGTCCACACAGGGACAAGAGTTGCCTGTGCGTGTGCGAGCTCGTGATTTTTACCAGCACACTCCCGCCACGTCTGTGCAGCTCGTCGAGCGCCACAGGCACGAGTTTTACGGGGTGGTCGGATCCTCTGATTGGAGATTTTAATTTGTCTTCGCGATAGCTGGCTAGCTGGGAAAGGGGAGTCTTTTCCGGGGGAGGGAGTGCGTTTGTTGGCACAAGTGTCCGTGGAAGGGATCAAGGGTGGAGGAATTCTTGCTTCCGATCGGAAAGTCCAGCAATCGCGTCCCTTTTTTCACCGTTTTGCTTGTTTATCGATCTGATTTTAATTGCTCGTATACAGAAGTCCTTTTTTCCTAGCTACATGTTTTTACAGAAGGGTTTTGGAGGCAGTCTCGATGGCGGGTCGTTTCTTTTTTACGTCTTTTTTACCACTGATTCTTGAACCCCATCCGAAATGGAGGATCTATGGCTGCTTAATTGCGCTGTTTGAGTGTGTGTCTCTAGGCTCGAACCATGGAGGACGTTTACAAATGGACCTTGTACGGTGGTCGACAAATTGAGGTAGTCCATGATGGTTGTGCGACAAATTGTGCGATGATTTTAGCGATTACAACGAAGCTTTTTCGACTTGGTCTCGAGGTCACTTGGAATTACGAGTAATTGGCGCCTTTTATTCGTTTGTAAAGCGGATATCGGAGCAGAGGGTCGATCGACGTCGAAACGAAAAAGGAAAAATCTGCTGTCCTCGCGTCGCATGGTAATTATGAGGATCAGAAGTGCGGGGACGATTAAGGAGATGGCAAATCCGTTTTTGCCCTGGGACAGCCATAACGCGGTGACTAACGTTGGGGCGGAGGAGAAGACGCAAGGCCCGCCTTTGCTCCAACACCCGAACCAATCCAGACATACCGTGAACGACGCTTCTAAAACCGCCGATTAAATCTCGATTCGCGTGATTA